CTGTTACCACCAGGTAGCTATATGTTGTTGCATAGTATACCTGAAGGAGGGCTCATCCGGAGTGCTTCTTTCTTTGCAGGTTTGTGTGCAATGTTGAATACAGCATGATGCACCTATCTATAACTTGTGAGATGCAGTAATATCTGTTGCCATGGGATCAGTAACTACTCTCTATAAGTAGAATGACACAATTGGTCCTCATTTTTATTGAATAAAATTACAAAAGATGCCTCTAATGATAGACATCTTAAAATATTGGGCTACAGCAGTTGAATTCCATAATCAATAGTATTTTTTTCAGTGAAATATGAAGCTAATAATTGTGTTTTTCCAGTTTTGAGAGAAGTTGTTTTTTCCAGGTTATTAATTTTTTTTTGAAGTTATTCTTGCACACACAATAAATGCTAGCATATTTGTTTGCCACACTTTCTCTGTGATTCCCACTGCCTTGCTTCAACTAAAAAAAAAAACACCCAATGAGCTCAAATGATTTTAATAAAGGAATAACATTTTGGGAGAAAATATAAAAGAAATGTATAATTTAATCTTAGAAGGGTCACAAACCTTATACCGTATGCTCTCTAAATCTAGTAATCCTTCTAATGGGTTGCAACTTGCTGCTCTGCTAGCATTGATGACTGAACAAGAAGCTTTTTGAAAATCGGTAATTGTTGAGTGCATGTGTGCTAACATTGTATAGTTTCTAAAATGCTGGCTTTGATTTGAATAATTTTCCCTGGACATGTACATTTTTGTAGCTTATAAATAAGTAACCCCATACATGAAAGGTATTGTGTCAGCTGCAATCTTGGCTTTCTTTGAAGCTCGCTAGCAAATGGGAGGGAGGCGTTTGGGAGGGGAAGAGTGGTGGAGGTGTGAAAAAAATGTTGTGGAGTATGGACAAGACTAACAGGAAGCAGGCGTGCCAAAGCCGAGCCTTCTTCCTGCCTTCAAGGACACCGGTCCTGGGGAAAGAATTTACAGCGGTGCCTAGGGCACTGGGTTCCCAAAATATCTGAACAGAACCTGATTGGACTACTCTCACAGAGGGGAGGGTTTGGGACACTGGGGGGATTGCTTTCAATATATGATTTTTCCAGTGGTTTTTCTTCAGAGCTTGCCTTGCTACGCTGCACTCAGCCTCTCTAGTTAAAGTACCTTTTCTCGAACATCTATGGAATCAAGGGTTGTTCTTTCCTCGGAAGTAAACTGGGCCAGTCTGACAGTTTTGCTTCAATAAACATCTTAATTCTGTTATGTACTATCCCTACTCACAGTCACTCATGCCCTAGTCGTGAGTCTTGACTATTGCAACGCACTCTACATAGGGCTGCCCTTGAAGAGCATTAGGAAGCTCTCGTTGGTGCAAAATGCAGCTGCCCACATGGTTTTGTACAGACCCCGGTGTGCACATGTATCACCTCTCCCGCGGGAGCTGCGTTGGCTGCCAATTTGCTTCTGGGTGCAATTCAAGGTGCTGATTGTCACCTTTAAAGCCCTTCATGGCTTGGGACCAGCTAATCATGAGGGAATGTCTCTTGCTGGTCACATCTACCCAACCCATTAGAGTGGGGATGCAGGGAATGCTGCGGGTCCCAACCCCTAGGGAGATACACCTGGTGGGACCCAGAAGAAAGACCTTCTTTGTGGTGACCGCCTCTCTCTGGAACATCATCCCCGCAGATTAGAATAGCCCCTACCCTGATACTCTTCCGAAAGGTGCTGAAGACCTGGTTCTGCCAACAGGCCTGGGGAACCCAGAGCGGGATGGAGCCCATTAAATGGCTTCGATAAGGTGATGTCACCGGGGTGGGGGGGGCAGGGGTGATTTTAATATGTTAATTTATGATCTCTTTTATTGTTTTTATATGGGGTTTTATATTCTGTAAACAGCCTTGAGTTGCCATGTGTGAATAGGCGGCAATATAAATTCCCTAAATCAGTAAATACTATCATGCCCTAAGACTTTGGTTTGAATTTTAATTATATTTTTCAAGCTTGCAACTCCTGTAAAAGTGGGAGAGTTTCCAGAGAAATTATTTATTAAAAAAACCAGATTCAAGCATTTGTAGAACAGTGCAAAGTGACACATTCCTTCCAAACAGTATTCCATACAGATAAATTGAACAGAGTAATAATTGATTCTAACTACGAACTTTTAGAAACTTTATAAATCCTGCAAGTGATATGCATTTGTTTTTCTAAAATGTGGTTGATGATGAGGGAGATACATGTTTTAGTTGTGCTGACCAAAGACTATTGCTCCAGTAGCTAATCAATTAATATTAAAGTGTAGCCCCCTGTGGATAACGTAAGTACAGTTGCACTCTCTTGTTGATAGTCTATTGCGAGAGAATCCTAAAGGCAATATATTGCCATCATGACTAGAAGTCAGATTCCCAAGCTTAAGAATCATTCCATGAAAATATAAATAAGGAGCCCTGGTATTTGTGGTTTTCATGGGTTACACTGTCAAAGCAATTTTGTAATTCGAAATTCACTGGTAGTTAATGCCCCCTTATTACTTCACAGAATTTTGTGGCAGCATAGGCATTGAAAGTAGTAATTCTCTGGAGCCTTTAATGCTTTCTGAGTATCAAGACGTACAAACTTATATGCTTATTATCTATACACAATAGCTTGCCCTGCCAGTGTAGATAAACATAAACAAAAAGCTACTCCTATGCCGTCTAGCAATGTTTATGTTATCTAGTTGGGTAATGAAACATCTGGAAGCAAACAACCAAGCATCAAGGACTTCTCACTTCAAACCTGTGTGAATATAATAAAAGTGATGTTTCAAATAGCACCTCAAATAGTGTTGCAAATTAGTTTCAATATATTATTTGCTACTTCATAGATCAGTCCTATTTTTTTTTTTTTTTTTTTTAAAAGTACACTTGAATCCAACCGCTAGTAGGAAATCCCTTTTGAAAAGGTAACTTGGATACACGTGTTAACTTTGATATTTTTAACAATTCAGCACACAGCACTCCTGTTGACATGCCCAATAGAGGTCAGAATGAAGACAGAGACAGTGGCATTGCTCGATCAGGTATTATCCTTTTCTTTGTTCTTCTCAAAAGTGTAATCAAAATACTTTAATGAAATACCAACCAGTAGATTCAGATTTAATTTTGATATGAAATTCATACATTCCTTCCTTGAATACTGATAGTATTAGAAATAGGAATTACTTGCTTGTCACTTTGTTAATATTATTGATCTTTGTGTGTGTGTGCGTGTGTGTGTGCGTGCATGTGATGTCTGCTGTTCCAAACTCATTGTTGAAACTGTCCAGTCTTGATTTTCTAATATTCACAAGTTACTGATTTTAAGATAAATGTAAATGTCACCATGCCACCTTCAGGTTCTTAGTGCTATAAGCATATTAGAATATTGGCAACACAAGACAAAATGAGTCTTTATGTTCTTATTTCTCCTAATCTTCTCTTCTTTGTGCAATGCATATAGGTTTAATTGTTACTAATTTACTCTAGTTCTCAGAATGACCACCACATGGTCATGATCCTCTTATTTCCATTTCTTTCTTTCTTTTTCATATTAGATCTCTTGCCACTCCTCCTCCTTTTCTTTTATAATCATTTCTGTTGTTATTAGAATTTCTGGATCAGAAAGGAGGTTTGTTTTTCCTCCCTGTTGCAGGAATTGGGTCTTCACTCTGGATCTTAAAGAATCCCATTTGCAAGTGCCTACTTTGTAGGAACAAGTTTTAATTTCTGACTATGCCGTTTAGCCCTTTATGAAGCAGGCTTGCTCCAGCATTTTCTTCCTGTTTGCAAACCACTTGGGCAACGAGGTCTAAAGAAAGCCAAATTTAAACCCAGTGCAGTGCTCTAATTCTAAATTTGAAGTTATATTCCAGCACTGCTATGAGACTTACAATATTTGCTTTTTGGACATACTGATCAAAACCTTCTATACCCACAAAGAAAAGGCTGGGTGCTATTAATTTCTTACTGCACTGAAAGACTATAGAGTGAAAGAAGAGGAATACTTCTGTTATTTCAGCACTACGTCTTGAACACTATTATAACTGAAGCATCACAATCTGGTTCTCATCATCAACAGTACTCAGAATCAGCAGATACAGAGGACAAGAGAGAAATAATCCACATCTTTCAGATAGAAGTAATATCTTTTCAAGTAAAAATTGAAGATAGTTTGTCATGCAGCCCGTTCCGTACCTAAAGTTACTTGAAGGGTCAAACCAGCACTGATACGCTCCCAAAACCAAAAGTTTAGGTCCTTCTCTATTATTTTCAAGGTCCTTTATAACCTCTGGAATTTTTTTTTTTTGTTTTCCAAAAATTACTGCCTTGAATTTTGGTCTAACCTACACCTATCTGCTTGTTAGATTCTAAGATAGCTTCAGTGCTATGTCAAGGTATGTCTCTCCTGCAGCAAAACTATTTCCTCCCATCCCAAGTCAATCCCTAGTTTTCATTTAAATCAGGGAATAATATTAGCTATTTTCTTTGATAGACCTTTTTCAGAAACCTTGTTACATTTCCTGGATGTTTAATCCATGTTGCCCAATTTATGTGCATACATTCACAGGATCTACATAAAGATGTTAGTGCATTTATAGATAAGTAATCAGTTCTTTCTATCTCTTATGTTCAGTCCATAAATTAAAAATTCTATTGGCTATCTATAATAGAAGCATGGCTCAGCCACCTTCAAGTTCAGAAAAAATTACATCCTGACAAAACACTTCTTTCTGACAAAACTACTGACATTTTGATTTGTTGACAGCATCCTTGACTAGTCTTTTGATGACTCCATTACCATCTCCCAGCCCCTCTTCGAGTTACCAGCGCCGCTGGTTTCGAAGTCAAACCACAAGCTTGGAAAATGGCGTTACACCTAGAAGGTAGGTTAACATAAACATATTCTTCTTGTAATGCAAATGTATGTAGTTTATATCTGCAGTCTAAAATAAATTAGCTATGGACTGATCTAAACCAGCACAATAGTTACCATACATTTAATTTCCCTTTTTCATGTCTTTCTAATATGGAAGAGCTTCATTTAGACAAGATAGGATCAGTGGTTTTTGATCCTTCAGCAAGTTTTCTCATTATCCCAATTTAGAGTTACCAAATCTTTGAGCATAAGATGCTACAGATAAATGTGTTGACAGTGATTGAAAGGCTTTGGTTATAAAGAAACTCAACTGGGTGCAATAAATAATAGAACCTTTTAATTAATAGACCTTCAGGTGACCTAGTAAATTGTTATGTTTGAACTACGTAGCAATACTTGTCTGGCACAATGGAAATTAGCTAGATTTGAAGATAAATAAGGAATGAAATACAAAAGGGGTTAACAAACCATCAACTTGGGTGGAGCTTTGTAGAGGAAGACTCAGACTTAAAATAAGAAGACGTTACTAATCCTAAGAGCTAAGGTCTCCTTCCTGGAACTGTGGATGCTCCTCCTTCACTGAAGGTTTTTAAAGAAAATGTTGAACAGGCATTTATCTGGGATGCAATGAGATTCTAGTCCTGAGCAGGTAATCAGATTACAAGATCTCTAAAGACCTATCCTCCAACCTATAATTCTATCAACCATCTAATGTGGAAGAGAAATACCACTAATTGTTTCCTGAATATTAGAAAAACCTCCACATTCCTTTCGTGGGGTATCTTTGCATGCTGCTTCATATGCTTAACATGTAATTAGCACCCAATTGCTATGAAGATTCTGCTATTTATACTCCTGGTAGACTCAACCTTCCTTTGAAATAGTTAGCCCAGGAGCGTCAAACTCGATTTAACTGAGGGCTGCATCAGGTTTGTGTTTGATCTTGGTGAGGGCGGGGGGCGTGGCCAGGGTGGAGGTAGCTATCTCAATGTCTTTTATGTTGGGGATGCCTGTGGTGGCCTGAGTGCTCGGCCAGCAAAAACAGGCTCCTGGTCTCTGTTTTTGGCTGGGACGGCCTCCTGAAACCATCTGCCACGAAAATGGAGCTGAGGAGTGGCCCTTGGAAGCTCCGTTTTTGCTGGCGGAGGGTTGCAGGAGCTGTCCCAGCTGAAAATGGAGATTGCCCATTTTTCTGGCAGAGGTACCACGGGCTGGTCTTTCGCTGTTTCCAGAATGGCCCCACGGGCCAGATCTAAGCACCCTGTGGGCCAGTTCCAGCCCATGGGCCTTGAGTTGGACACCCCTGCGTTAGCCTATCATTAGTTGAATCGTATTGAGATGCAAACACTATCTTGGAATCTTCTATGAGTTAGTGGGAAAAGACTGAACTCAACAGAAAATACCTTAATTAAAATGGGGTGATATTGCTAATATTCTCTATAGTCATTTCACTTGTTCAGCCGGAACTTGTGTTCACTGTGGATCAATTTATTTTAAATCCCTTGTTCAAAGTCTAAGATCTCTGTTTTCATCATCCCATCAGGAATTGCTGATTAAAATAACAAAAGTTGGAAAGGACTTTGAAGGTCTTCTAGTCCAACCCCCTGCTCAAACAGGAGACCCTATACCAGGGGTACCCAATCTGTGGGCTGTGGACTGTGGCCCACTGCCTGGCTACGGCCTAATAGCCACCAGGCCACATGAGCGGTTAGCCATGTACATGCATCGGTGTGCACATAGGGCCCCATTCGCACAAGCACTGCCATGATCATCATAGACAGTCTGATCCAACTTGCAGGAACCTCATTGCGGGCCATTGCGGCCCCACTTGCGCGACCCTCGTCTCAGGTACTCGGGGTCCCACTCACATGAGCCTCATCATTGGTGCTCGCAGCCCCACTCATGCAATCTTCACTGGGGGCACTTGTGGCCCTACATGCGTGAGCTTTGCCACAAACGTCATGGGTGAACATGCACATGCGCCTGCCCTTCCCACAAAATCATTCCCTCCTTCCGCTTCAGGCTGCGAAACAAGAAAGGTTGGGGACCCCCTGCCCTATACCATTCCAGACAAGTGGCTGTCCACTGTCTTCTTAAAAGCCTCCAATGACAGAGCCAAGCTGTTCCATTGGTTCATAGTTCACACTGTCAGGGAATTTTTCCTGAGTTCTAGGTTGGTTCTCTGCTTGATTAGTTTCCATCCATTGCTTCATTTTCTTGCTTTCTGGTACTTTCCATTCTTTGTGGCAGCCCCTCAAATATTGGAACATTGCTAATCCACCCCCTTTTTTTACTACATTAGATGTAGCCAATTCCTGCAACCTTTCTTCATATGTTTTAGTCTCCAGCTCGCTGATTATCTTGGATGCTCTTTTCTGCACTCTTTCTAGAGTTTCAACATCTTTTTTATATTGTGGTGATCAAAACCGGATGTAATATTCCAAGTGTGGTTTTACCAAGGCATTATTATATATAGTGGTACTAACACTTCACATGATCTTCATTCTAACCCTCTGTAAACGCAGCCTAATGCAGCCTTTGGCTGCTGTAGTACACTGCGGGCTCATGTTTACGTGATAGGTCCATTTGGACTCCCAAGATCCCTCTCACAGTTACTGGCATTAAGTCAAATTTCACCTAGTCGTACAGTTGGTTCACCTGTACAGTTCACCTGTACTGTACAGTTGGTTTTTCTTAACTAAATGTAAAACCTTACTTCCTTTCTCCATTGAATTTCATTTTATTAGACAGGACCCAGTGGTCAAGTCTGTTGAGATCCTTCTGGAACCTCAATCTTCTGAGGTGTTGGCTATTCCTGCCAGTTAAATGTCATCTGCAAATTTAATGAGTTCCCCTTCTATTTCTTCATCTAAATTGCTTATGAAGATATTGAAGAGTACTGGGCTGAAGACAGAACCTAGTGATACCCCACTGCTTACCTTCCCTCCATATAGATGTAACTCCATTAAGGATTGCACATTGAGTGTGATTTGTCAGCTGGTTACAAATCCATTTGTGATGTTGCTGTCTATCCCACATTTTATTTTTCAGCAGTATTGTACTGGATTGGGCTTTTATAATCATATTTTTTCAGAATTTCCCAAGCTTCTTGAGTTATTCTCCCCTAGGATGTTCATCCATTGAATCCTTCCCAAGCTGTCTGTAAGTTTATTGAAATCAGTTTTTTAAAAAATCTAAAACATTTGTTTGATTTTGTTCTATTTTTGTGTCTGCATTGTATTGAAGTCTAGTGTGATGTGGTCACTCTCCTCCAAAGTTCCTGCAACTTCAACGCCTATCATTTCTTCTCTTTAGTAAGAATTAAGTCCAGTATAGTTGACCCTATAGTTCCCTCTTCTACCTTTTGGACAACAATCTTGTCAGCTAGGCTCATAAGGAGCCTGTTTGATCTCCCACTTGATGCAGAATTTGTCTCCCAGTTGATATCAGGATAGTTAAAGTCCCCATTACTGCTATGATGTGTTTCTTATATTCATTTGTTAACTGATTAGCAAAAAGTTCATCTATTTCTTCTGCTTTTTTGGGTGGCCTGTATTATACACCTATGGCAATGTCATTCTTTTACGTTAACCCATATGCATTCAAGAAGGCTTTCATCCTTGGTTTTATGCATTTCTGTAGTTGTGTAGTGATCTCTTACATATAATGCAACTCCTCCCCCTCCTTATTTGTTAGGTCTGTTTCTTTTGAACAGATTATAGCCTTCCTACAATACATTCCAGTTGTGAGTGTCATCCCACCAAGTTTCAGTAATGGCAACTATACCATACTTGCCCTGTGTACCACTACTTCAAGTTCACCCTATTTATTCCTCAAATGCATTTGAGCATTTGTGTATAGGCATCTGAATCCTTTAGGGTTGATCCTGGGTTTGCTTCCTACATCTCCTGTTTAATGTCTGAGTTTTTCTTCCTTCCCATCAGGCCCTACTTCCTTGTTTTATTGATTGTCTTCAGGTTTACACTTGGAATTCGGTTCTAAAGATTCTAAAGGTTAATCACCCTCCTCCCTCAGTTTTAGTTTAAAGCTCTTCGGATAAGCTGAGCCAGTCATTTTCCAAATACATTCTTCCCTGTTCTTACGAGGTGCAGTCTATCTCTTGCCAGAAGTGCTTCATGTAAATAATGCAGTCCATAGTCTAGGAATCCAAAATTCTCTTGGTGACACCATCCCTTAAACCAGTGGTTTGTTTCTAAAATTCTTTATTCCCTTATTGGATGTTGACTTTTTGTTGGTAGTACAGATGAAAACACAACCTGTGCTCCTAATTCTAAAGGCTTCTTTAAAAATGAAAGGGAATAATGAATATATAGATTTTTTTTCTTTTTTATTTAATATCACATTTATAAAATGTCTTCAGGATAGATTTGGTATGATTATATGATTTGTTATAAAATAAATTAAGTAAATTATAGTTATCTCGTAAAGTATGAATGAATAAAATCATAGTCAAATGATTGTTTGATAGTGATACTAGGGTATATAATTTTTGATTGATAATATGAGTTATTATGTAATGTAATTGTAATTGAGACTACGAAATGAATGCACAAAAACTGGTAAACCAACCGACACACTGTATATTTATGAAAGAAAGCTGGATGTTTTTATGTTTTGTTTGTTTGTTTGTTTGTTTGTTTTTAAAAACTAATAAAATTATTTTCAAAAAAAAAATGAAAGGGAAAAAATATCTTCCTCTATTTGTGAACTTGGTCTAAACATCTAAATTGTGTTTCTATCTTAAGAAAGGTTAGTTATAGAATAAGTGCAAATGGCAACAGGTATCCTCTCCATCCTAGGGGACCCATTCTGTTTTTTCTCATTGACCATGCATGACAAGCAATGGGGATTGGATTACAATTTCTTCACTCCTTTTAAAAATAGGAAAATAGGGATAGGAAAATACTTCTTGTGAAGGATATTGAAAAGAAAATGAGATAAACTGAAATGTTGAAATGTTCACAGGGCTGAGATAATTCCAGCTAGGTTCATGCTTCTGTAAGCTATACTGTGGTTTGTTTAGTTTTGGCTTAATATATGTGGAGCCTAGTCTTTATGTTTTTTTCTTTACTGGTTAGTCTTCATTGAATGAATCAGACCTAAGACAAATAATGGCTTATCAAGACCCAGTTCTGTTTGACTGAATGGAATTTATGAGGGTATCACTTCACTATGCATCAATTGAAACACTTCAGGCATTTGCTAGTAGCTGAACACATAGTGCAACATTTTTCTCCAATAGGTCAACTGAAGAAACATTCAGCATGGCAGATGAAAGTTGTGGCCTCAATCCTGCACTGATTCGAAGGAAGAAAATTGCCATCAGCATCATTTTCACCCTTCCTGAGAAAGAAGAGGCCCAGAAAAATTTCCAGGATTTCTTCTTCTCTCATTTCCCCTTATTTGAATCACATATGGGCAAGCTGAAAAGTGCAGTTGAAATGGTAAAGCAGTGAACAAATTTAGTTTTTATGCTTACAACCTCTAGGTGGGTAAGAATGAGAGAGAATACATTAGGTTACGTCTAGAATTTTGTAACTCAATTCTTCTTCAGAATTTTACATGGTAAATTATCCAAAAATTGTTATCTTTCTAAGAATTTCAGTTCTTTCCTGTACTTCCTGAATGCTGTGAATATAGTCCAAATGGCTGACAGAAGGGTTTGCATGTAGAATTAGCTATACATGCATATATCCCTCAATACATTTCCCCCATGCAAGCAAATTTCTAGATTAGAAATTTATAGCTTTACAAAACATTTGATCTAGATGGGTGCATTGTATTTGTGGCCATTAAAAATAGGACAGTGAATCATGCCTGGCCTGGGCTGGTGACATAGCTCTTTCCTGTGCTTTGAGACAATACGATAGGTCTGGGTCACGGACCAGTACCGGTCTGTGTCCTATTAGGAACCAGGCTGGAGATGAGCTATGGGTGAGCCAATGTGTGCATGCACAGGATCTAGGTTGCGTGTTCCTCCCCCACCCATGGAAAAATTGTCTTCCACGAAACTGGTTCCCGGTGTCAAAAAGGTTGGGGTCTGTTTATATGGGTAATAAATCTGAAGGAGGTTTAATTTGCACCCAGCATTTCTCTTCACTTGTAAATAAGACCTACTTTATTTAAAGCCTTTTTATTTGAGTGCATGGCCTATGCAGTAGCTCTTCCTGAACCTAGTTTTCAATGCATCTACCTGATTGTCTTCTAATTTTAGGTGGCAAATGTTTTACTTGACTTTTTATCTTTTTGTTTTCTTTTTTTCTTTTACTGGAGTGGAAGGACCTAGGGGCTGTGCTGTGTTAAGGGAACAATGCAAACTAATTGAGGCTGTATCATATTCTTGGGTGGGACTGAAATATTCTAGGTTTTCCCCCCCTCATTTTGGGGAGTAGTTTTTGAATACTTTCTGATTCAGAAGGGCTCTAGAAAAAAAATTAAATCATTTTTAATTGAAGGTTTAGGTTGCACATACCTGGTCTAGAATCCTTTTCTTTGTAGGCAAATACCAGAAAAAAATAAAAGTGTAAAACCTGGTATCTCAAGTATGGTTCGAATGATGTTCTAAGCTGTTCTATATAGATCCCGAAAGAATCAGCTTTGCATTTATTTTTAACCCATTCTTATTTTTTTTTCCCCTAAGGCTATGATCACATGTAGAAAAATAGCAGAAACAAACCAAAGAGTGCAAGTTTACATTAGCCGTATTATGGATGCATTGGATGAATTTAGGTGAGTTACTGTTAACGTCAAATTTTATTGGGACGGACAAGATACGCATCTGTTCTTCAGATTAATCTATTTCACAACTCAGAGCCTCTTCTTTTTTACAAAAAATTCATACTTCCACTAACCTACAGATGGTCCTCGACTTATAACCACAATTGAGATCAAAATTTATGTTGCGAAGCAAGACAGTTGTTAAGTGAATTTTCCTCTATTTACGGTCTTTCTTCCCCCAGTTGTTAAATGAATCACTGCAGCTGTTAATTAGTAACATGATTGTTAAATGAATCAGGACTCCACGTTGACTTTGCTTGTCAGAAGGTCACAAAAGGTGATCACATGAATCCAGTGGAATCCAGTGGTATTCTGGAGTATTGGCTCATGAGAGCTGATTATTAAAGTTTTAGATATTAAAAGCAAAGCTGAGCCTCAATATCTAGCATCCAATATTTTTTATTTTTGCAACAAATGGTGCAGTGGCAATGGAATTGCCAGAACTGGTTGTTAAATATGAGCCTTTACCCATAGTTGAGCATCCATAACTTTAAAATATATCAGGATAGGATAGTTTAAAAAAAAGCAAATCTGCCTTGTTGATTTCAACCCTGATAACTTCATGGACATTTCCATGCCATTTACTTTGATAACTTCATGGACATTTCCATGCCATTTACTTTGTGGCAATAGAGAAGTAGTTTGCCATTGGCACCTTTGAGTATTACTTACCAATATACCTGGGATTTTGTGGTGGTTCCCCACCCAGGTATTAGTGAGGTCCAATTCTGTTTAGCCTTTTTGGAGTCTATCAGATGCTTCTATTTCCTCTGATGCTGTATGTGCTTTAATCTGAGGCACACCTCAAACCCTAACAAATTGGGTAGAATTTTTTCTAAGTAAGACTTTAAAGCTGCTATTCTTTAAATATATGTTTGCTGGTTGATTATAAGAAGTATCTTCATTATGTATTTATACTATACGATGTTTCAGTGTCAAGGGATCACTGTCAACATGTTTTTGTGTATTTTAAGCCATTGTTTTTCAAATTTGACAACTTTAGGATGTATGCACTTCAGCTTCCAGAATTTCCCAAGATGCATGCGCTAAGCCCGTGATGGCGAACCTATGGCACGCGTGCCAGAAGTGGCACGCAGAGCCAATTCTGCCAGCACGCGAGAGGTCGCCTAGAAGAGCCCTACTGCGCATGCGTGCGCATGCTGCTGCCCGACAGCTGATTGTCGGGTATCTGGCGTGCATGTGCAGGGCGCATGGGACGGCTGCATGCATGCGCAGAGATTCATGGCACACAGGGGGATCACGCATGTGTGGTGCGCATGGGGCGTCACACGCACGTGCGCAGGGGTGTGGGGACCCCAGCATACATTGCCTTCTAGGTGCTGGCATGCAAGCACGAGCGCGCTCACAATTTTCGGCATGGGAGCCGAAAAAGGTTAGCCACCACTGCTCTAAAGCCCTTAGTTAGGCCATTCTGGTCCCAGAAATCAGTGGTACACATTTGAATAAAGTAGAAGCCAGGAAATAGCATTTGTGACTAAATATCTGATTTCCAATTCTTCAGTAGCATCCCAAAAGTGCTTTTTTTTTTTTTCAAGAGACAACTGGACTTTCTGGTTTTTCTTTGAAGATGTTTTGCTTCTCATCCAAGAAGCTTCTTCAGCTCTGGCTGGAAGATCATTAATTAATTATAAAATATCATTTCCATAGGAAAATGTATTTGTTTTGATTTAAAAAAAAGATAAAAATTGGAAAACCGAGAGAATTAGAATGAATTAAAATTACAATTAAAGGAGAACACTCAGACTCAATTTACAATTACAGAGTGAAGAATATTGAAGCCACCACTGCTTCAATACAGAGTATACAGAGCACCACTGCTTCAATTACAGAGTGAAGAATATTTATGAACAGTGGATCCAGAAGTTAATTTAAAGAGTGTCTGAGATAGATTATGTTTAAAAGATATCATGGAAGAGGAACAAGTTTTACCTGACAAGATCAAAACTGATTTGAAAATGTCAAGTTATAAGAATAACATGGAAAATGATGTTGCATTGCACATACAAAAAAAACCCTGGCTATTGTTTTTATAATTAAAAGGGATATATAAATAACAAACCAGGAGAATGACCTGGGTAATTTTGGTACATTGGATTTACAGGCTTGTTAGAAGTTTTGAAGAATTTGTAAGATGGAACAGAGAAAAAGTCAAAAATCAAGTTCTAGGACATATTTAAATAAATAGTTTGAAAAGAATAACAATGAAGATAATTAGAAGTAAAAGAAAGGAATATAAAATTATCTAATCAAGGTTTAAATAGATATGTTATTCTCCTTGATAACCTTTAATGGCCTTTAGATGATCAGGACTAAAGCAAGAGGTTTTAAGGATTTATTTATAGATCATAGATGTGACATGGAAAGAAAAGATATTTGTATTTAAAGGGAAGGTGTTAAGTTATTAAAATAATTTATACTTGTAATGAAGGAGAAAGGTCACTTCTTTTTCTTTACTATATTTTTTCTTTTCTATTTTTTATTTTTTTCCACTTGTATTAGTTGTAAATGTAATTTTAATAAAATCTATATATTACTAATATTATCCTATTTGTGTACGTGTAACTTTTCACTGGGCAAAATGGTGCGTTACTGTAGGACAACAGTTTTTGAACCAAAGTACCTCAAATGGGTAACTTATAGAATGTGTCCCAAATCTAGAACCTGTCAGTCCTATAGAACTGAAATTTGGCGAATTTTATAAAATGTTTTATAACCTAGATATTGTCATAAAACATTTCATCACCACAATACAAACTTTCATAAAACATTTCCGGTGGTCAGTTCCTGATTTTTCACCATGTTACATAGTTTAACGTGGGTTATTTTCCAGGGAGATATTTCTCTGAATATCTCCTTGAATTTTTATAAACTTTTGCAGTGAAGGCAAGTACATTAGTAGCTCTGCCACCGTTGAGGAATTTGCATAGGAAATGTCTCTGAAACTATGACCCGATGGGTTTCAGGTCATCTAATTACCATTAACAATTTATATCCCACCTTTTCTTCAGAAGCTCTGGGCAACATCCACAGCACTGCCTATTTTTCCATTCAGCAGCTGCTTTTTGTGGTAGGTAGACCTGAGAAATACTACCTGGCCCAAAGACTGCTTTCCGACTTGCCTTGCTGGATCTCCAAAACCACCAGATCAATTTGGGTCTCTACTCTGCTGAGCACAAAATATACCTCTAGTATAATGTGGAAAGCTACTAGAATTTAAAGAAAAGCAAGAGTTTGGCAAGAATCTCATTTATTTGGCAAGAATGTCAAGCTTCAGTCAAATTAGCAAGTAAATATAAAACTTTAAAAGTGAATGAGTGGCTGGTGTGAAAGAAGAATAGAGTAGAGTAGAGTAGAGTGGAAGGGAAGGGAAGGGAAGAGAAGAGAAGAGAAGAGAAGAGAAGATATGGAAGGGAAGGGAAGATAAGATAAGATATGGAATGGAATGGAAGAGAAGGGAAGGGAAGAGAAGAGAAGAGAAGAAGAGAAGAGAAGATATGGAAGGGAAGATAAGATATGGAATGGAATGGAAGAGAAGGGAAGAGAAGAAGAGAAGAGAAGAGAAGAGAAGAGAAGATAGGGAATGGAAGGGAAGAGAAGAGAAGAGAAGAGAAGAGAAGAGAAGAGAAGAGAATAAAGTGACAGAGTTGGAAGGGACCTTGGAGGTCTTCTAGTCCAACTCCTTGTTTAGGCAGGAAACCTTACACCACTTTAGACAAATGGTTATCCAACATCTTTTTAAAAACTCCCAGTGTTGGAGCATTCACAACTTCTGGAGGCCAGTTTTTCCACTGATTAATTGTTCTAACTGTCAGCAAATTTCTCCTTAGTTCTAAGTTGCTTCTCTCATTGATTAGTTTGCACCCATTGCTTCTTCTCCTGCAATGGGACAATATTGATATATTGAGTATATTGAGGTGTTTTGCTTATACGTAGAGAATGAATGAGGATAAATTGCAAAATACATAAACAAAGGAAGAGTGAATAAATCAAGAGGAAGAAGCAACAGTTATGGTGGTTCTCCCTGTTATGGGCAAAATACTTCTACATTTGAACCATTTCCTCTTGTTTAAGCTAACACGGTCCTTTTCTTTTGGTAGAACTACAATATGGAATTTATACACAGTTCCAAGGATTGCAGAACCTGTGTGGCTTACTATGATGTCCTGCGCTTCAGAAAAGAATCTGTTATGCCAACACTTTCTCAAGGAATTTGCTGTTTTGATAGAACAGAGCAGCAAAAACCAGTGAGTAATCTTCTTTTGTGTTGCTCCTCTAGTTTGAATGGAAGGTTTATTGCAGAGATATAATTTTGTGTCTGCTGCTTCTTATTTTTATAGGTTTTTTGCTGCTCTATTAACAGCAGTGTTAACCTATCACTTGGCCTGGGTCCCTACTGTGATGCCAGTTGATCATCTCTCCATCAGGGTTTTCTGTGAAAAACAGGCCTCACCATCTGTGAATATGCTGGCAAAATCACACCCGTACAATCCACTTTGGGCACAGCTTGGTCAGTACAATAAATTCACATCTAAATTCAAGATGACTCTTTAGGCATGGAGACTTTTTTTTCCCTGGAAAGAAATGTGCTCATATGCACAAATGATTTTATTTATTTTAATTTGTAATGCCACCAAATCCTGTGGGACTTCCAACAGTTAAAAATCCACGAAATACCAATAGCACTTAAGACTTATATACCGCTTCGTAGCACTCTACTGCCCTCTCTAAGCAGTTTTACAGAGTCAGTCTTTGCCCCCAACAATCTGGGTCCTCATTTGACCCACCTCTGAAGGATGGAAGGCTGAGTCAACCTTAAGCTTGGTGAGATTCGAACTGCCAAATTGCAGTCAGCCGGCAGTCAGCAGAAATCGTCTGCAGTATTCTTAACCACTGCGCCACCATGGCTCAATGTTCATGACAGGAAGCAACATTGAAAATAAAGAGATCAACCATAAGTGCATACATACCTTCAGGGCTTTTAATTAAAATCTGATTGAAAGAGCTGTCTTTTTGGCTTAATGATCAAAAATTACCCTGTGGTAAGATGGGAGGCCAATAAATTTAATAATAAATAAATAAATAAATCCCTTTAAAGTGGATAATGCATGTACTTGTAATAGGTGATCATTATGAATGATATTCCAGAAGATCATTCAAAATTCTACTGAGCAATTATAAATCACTTTTTCCAGACTTGTTTTGTAAACAAGATTCAAACATCTAGTATCAAACATAATGGCTTGTTCTTTCCAATTAGAAAATTATTAAACTAGGTTTCTCTTGTCAGCTTGTTACTAACATGATGTGTGCCCTCTAGTGGTTATTGTATAGCTTGCACACTTCAAAATTGGGTTTAATTCTCTTTTGACATCCTTATTAATGAAACATAAATGCAAAAACATATCTTCGTGAAACACATAATCAGAATCACTTAAGTGCCATGGTTTGTAATAATACCTTATCTCAGAGTCCAGTAAAAGCATTATGGCACATATTGTGATCATTCTGGATCTTAAATGGGAATTCATATCACTTTCCCACTCCTCCAATCTGGAGTAGACATTCAATTCTTATGCTTATAAAAGTAGAGTAAAAGGATGTTTTTGTGCAAAAATTAAACCGTGGCATATCCAGTCATTATATTTCACCTTCAACATTTCTAGGTAGACTTATTCAGATCTTCCAGAACTCAATTTCACAATTACACTATTAGTATTTAAATCAAAAGATTATGTTTTAGCAGTAGTTAGGAATTGCTACCATAATAGCTGTGCTGACAATTGATTTTAGCTGTCTCATCTTGTTTGCCATATCTGTGAGATACGAATTTTCAGATTTTTTTTGAATTGCAGTTCTTTGCATAATTTGGCAAAAACGTATTTTTGCAAAAATTAAATGCAGTTGAGTGTTAATCTTCCTCTACTGAAATAAAAATAAAATTGAGTTACTAAAGTGGATCTTTTTACTTAGGTGTGGCTTTTATCATTTAAGGTGAAGTAATAATATCTTAGTGCTTTCATTCTTTTGATAGTTAGATTGGACAAATAAATTAGATATTTGGCATTGGTCTTTGAGGTATCTTAATTAATTATTATTATTTTTCTTTGCTCACTGTGTTTATTTAGGTGATTTATATGGTGCCGTGGGTTCACCAGTCAGAATGACAAGGACAGTCATTGTTGGAAAACACAAGGATTTTGTTCAGCGCATTCTCTATGTCCTTACGTATTTCTTACGCTGCTCTGATTTGCAAGAGAATTACCTGGTCTGGAATGGGCAGCTTGACAAAGGAGAGCAAGCTGCGAATGGCAGGAACATTATAACGACTCTAGAAAAGGGAGAAGTTGAAGAGTCTGATTATGTGGTTGTCACAGTTCAGAACGAACCTGCTCTTGTGCCTCCTGTCGTGCCTCCAAAGAATGATGCTACTGCGGTTGCTGTTGCGGCAGAACGTGAAGGCTGCTCTGAATCTGCCTGCTTCGAGGGCAAACAGGAGACTCGGCTGAATGCTGAGTGCAATTCTGAAACCTCCCCTCGCTTCTCCAGAGTTAGCTCTCCAAAAAGAATTGTAGGGGAAATTAAGAAAGGGAAAGCTTTAGTTAATTCAGAAATCGCATGTGGAAGGCACGGTGTATTAGAGGATTTAACGGCAAGAATGAATGAGGACAAGCAGCACAGTGTAACAGGGCAGTTGTTTCAAAACTTGGTAGCTGTTCCAAATGCCAAGAAGATTGCCCAGGTGTATTCTCAACTGGAAAAAGTTGCCTTCCAGATTGGAAGCTCCACCTCACCCGAATCTGATTCTGAAACCCAAAGAATGGAAGCCAACAAAACTTTGGAGAAACGCAGAAGTAAAACTCAATCTCTGTGTGCTCTATCAAATCCATTACATACAACACCCAGGGCCCCAGAAGAGAAATCTAACTTGTGTCTTAAAACCTGCACTAGCCAGACAGTTGGGGAAACAGAAACACCAAGGGCATCTTGGCTGCTATCAGTTCCACAGCCTGTCATTCTTGATAGAGAAGTCAAAATGGTAAACTTGGGGGAATTGGATCAAGTTTGTAGTACGAGCTGTGAAAACTTTGAGAGAAATTCTCTTGACTGTGATTCAGGAAGCTCTACTGATACCCAGAAGTCCGGCCAAGCGGTTACTAAGAGCATCCCCTGCGGGGAGGTGGAACGCAAACTCCATTGTGGAATGGAGGAGGACATTCCTAGAAATGAAAGTTCTGATAGCGCTCTTGGAGACAGTGATGATGAAGGTTGTACGTACATTCCAGATGAGCAGTCAGTCACTGTTAACTCTAGACCTGAAGAATTTTTAGAAGTGGAACTTGCTTTGCCAAGGTAAAGAAAATAATAATAATCAGAACTTCTGAGGGTTGTTTTACTTTTTGTTTCTTGCACTGTTCCTAGAGGCATGGGTAGGTTATAACCAGGGGTGGGATTCTACCAGTCCGCACCTATTTGCTAGAATCGGTTGTTAACATTCTAAGCAGTTCGGAGAACCAGTTGTTAGAAGAAATTACTGGGCTAATCCTGTAAGGAAGGCAGGAAGGAAACATTCTGGGGTTGCTTACAGAAACTGCCTCTCCCTTAACCCTTATTACATTCTTGGCAGGACTAGACTTCCTGTCTCAGGAACGTCTCTGGAGTTTTTTTTCCCTCCTTTGCTGGTACTTTGCTTGTGTGGAGTGACCATTCAAAGTTACAATGGCACTGAAAAAAGTGACTTAATGACCATTTTTCACACTTACGACTGTTGCAGCATCCTCACAGTCATGAGAGGCCAGGCGAGAGATGCTTGCCTCGATGTGAGTGATATTGAGTTGGCCACGTGCAGCCAATAACATGACCACCAAACCATGCCCACCACCTAAGCCACACCCACAGAACCGGTTGTTAAAAATTTTGAATCCCACCCCTGCCTAGCATGATCATATGAATTTAATCTAATCTAATAATATTTTGAAATTTTCAAGTATCCCTACCTCCTCAAAAAAGTAGCAACCAACTATAAGGCAAAGAAATCAAAGGCATGAACAAAAATAAAATAAAATTGCTAAGACTGTTTTATACCAACATAATTCACCATATTCTGTATCTTGGCTTCCAATAAGTCCTTATACAGATTAATTTCTTTATTCAGTTGTTCACTTACTTCCCTTTCCTTGTGATACAGTTTTCTTTCATGTATTTATTCATATGTTCATTCTATCTTCAGTATATGTCCAAAACAGATCAACATACTTTTTTTCTTACTGGCCACTCACTTTTATGTTTGATCCACAAAATATTCAGCTCTCAAGTGTTCTTGACTATCCCTTATATTATCACACACATTGTATAAGTGCCCTTTTCTCCCTACATACAACTAACTTTTATGTTTCTCCTGACATACTCAACCATCACTGCCTCATAACATATAACACTCCTATACATAGATATTTGCACTTATTTCAGCAATGTTAATTCATTAATTTTAAAACGTTGAACAATTGTCCAATTGTTATTTATAATTTTCCTATTTTCATACCTCCTTATGATGGTCAGTATATCCATTTATGTTTTCTGACATACATTTAAACTTTTCACCTACAATTACAGTAAATCTACACCATCATTTCCCTGCATATATTTATCAATTCTATTACTCTATTTTAATTTATTGTGATTACATTTTATTTTATTCTCATACACTATATGAAAATTTATACTTGTTTTTTCTTCTTGCATTTCATTTGTTAATTCTCATATGTTAGTAATTTTTCACAATCCAGTCTTCCATATGCAGTGGATTTCAGCAGATGCTATTGGTCTCAACTTCATGGCTTTGGTCATTGAGGTTATCAAAAAATACTTCGTAGTAACTGAAAGTATAGAACCACCTTCTTTGTCTATGCTATATGCAGCACTTCCACATAATGGTAAGGCCAGTATTAGTCAGCTTAGTACATTTTGACTAGTAGGCTTGCCAAAGTTCAGTTTTACTCCAAGGAAGCTCATCATAATCAAATTAATATGTCTAATCTGGAAAGGCTTTGCAAGCCAACATAATGATTCCCACATCAAATTATTAGAAAGTATATGTAGTTTACTGATACAAACTCAGGATTACTTGTTTTTGTTAATAAAATAATATTAAGCAATTTAAAAATTGTTTAAATTTATTGTTACAGGTAGTCCTCAACTTGTGACCACAGTTCAGCCCAAAATTTTAGTTGTAAATTGAGACATAAATTGCCCCAATTTATGACTTTTCTTGCCACAGTTTTAAGTGAATCGCTGCAACTGTGAAGTTAGTAACATGGTTGTTAAATGAATCTGGCTTCTTTGTTGACTTTGCTTTGTCACAAAAGGTGATCACGTGACCCTGAGAAACTGCAGCCATCATAAATATGAGTCAGTTGCCAAACATCTGAATTTTGATAATGTGACCTTGGGGGGTGCTGCAATGCTTACAAAGGTGAAAAACGGTCATACGTAACTTTTTTCAGAGCCATTTTAACTTCAAATGGTCACTAAAGGAATAGAATAGAATAGAATAGAATAGAATAGAATAGAATAGAATAGAATAGAATTCTTTATTGGCCAAGTGTGATTGGACACACAAGGAATTTGTCTTGGTGCAAATGCTCTCAGTGTACATAAAAGAAAAGATACCTTCATCAAGAATCATAAGGTACAACACTTAATGATAGTCATAGGGTACAATAAGCAATCAATCATACTAGGAAACAGTCAATATAAATCGTAAGGATACAAGCGACAAAGTTACAGTCACAAGTGGAAGTGACAAGTGGGAGGGGAGGGGGGATAAGGAGTGATGAGAAGATTAACAGTAATAGTAGTGCAGACTTTGTAATAGTTGAACAGTGTTGAGGGAATTATTTGTTTAGCAGAGTGATGGTGTTTCGGGAAAAAACTAAGTCAAGAACTACCTCTATACCATATGTCAGATTTGCTGTCTGAATGTAATTTGTTTGACAAAAAAAACCAAGATAAGTTGGTCTGTATGTTTTTAATTGTATATATTCATATGGGTGCGCGGGTGTGTGTGTGTTCCATTACATTGTTAAGACCTTTCCTAAATATATTTCAAATAGATATTTTTATATTACATTTTTCCATTTTTGGTTAATGCTCTCAAATGTTCCAGTTAAAATGTTTCACCGTAAAAATGGGGATTTTGTTTCCTGGATTTATGGCCTATTTAATAGGCTGTGAAGGTAGATAGAGAAATTGTACTGTTACTAACTCAGAAACTGAAATATATTTGAAAATATGTAATTGTAATGGGGTGCATTATCCATTGTGTGAAATTTGCCTAATTAAAATAAATCACTAGCTTCTGAAAAGAAGATAGCAGAGAATGAACCTTTCAGGAGTTAGCAAGGGACCATGTTCTCACATGAAAGGTACAAATCTTTGAATTTACTTCTATGATCAAATCTAATTCTATAATGGAATTACTTACTGTGGAACATACACAGACTATTACTGTTCATAGTTTACACGGTAATCCATGTAGGCTGGATTTGACTGAACATTGGAGTCATTGTTTGAGTCATTAGAATTCTATTAAATTGTGTTCAGTTTTCTGTGAGAAAGATTCAGTCATATGTTATAGAAGTTTGCAGGCTAAAGAGTAGCTGTTACATTTATATATCATATATCAGAGTGAATGGTATTTTTTCATCATTCTTCAGTTATAATCTTGGAAAACAAAGCAGATCATAATGTCACCCATGCAGATCATGTTACAGTCTTGCCAATCTAACTGCACATACTGATTATTTTTTTGTAAGACCCTGAGATGTGTTCAGTAAACAGTAAATTCTTGATTTTCAGATTTTGCACAGTTAGCACTCAAAGCATGATACATTATGGAAGGTCTCTTCTTGGGGGCTATTGTACCTCTTATATGCCTGATCTAGTGCTGCATGGAATAAGTTCAGATGAACAACTTAAGCAACATTTATCCACTGAGTTGAGTCACACCATAAATGTAAGTCTGTCCGTTTCTGTGCAAAGCTTTAATAATAATGTTTTGAACATGAAGGAAAAACTTACTGATGTTGTTTCATTAGTAACATTCCATTGTAATTTTTGCTATTTGTAGATAAAAGAATAGTTACATTCTTGACTACCTCATATTTGGATTCTTATAATTTGGTGCTCTCTGAGCTTGTTTTTTTTCTTGCAGTCATTTCATTATAATTGTAAATCTTACTGTGAATCTCATAATTCACTTTATGTAAGGCAGAATCACGCAGAATCACGCAGAAGCTGCTGCAGTTTGGACCGCAACAAGCATATGTAGTTATAACTAGGCCAGGGGATGCTCATAAAACACCCCTGTTTTTTGAAGTGCTGGTTCAATTCAATTAACAAAATTTAAGGTGCTGATTGTCACCTTAAAATCCTTCATGGAGTAAGCCTTGTTTTTTGAGGGGCTGTCTGTCTTCAGTAGTTCTTATCCATGCCATCCCTTCTGACATAGTTGGCGTGCTCTGGGTTCCATTCATTAAACAGGATCATCTGCTGGTTTGTCAAGGCACCTGACTCTAGAAATCAATTCTCGTGAGATTTTTATGGCTCTCATCTTGATCTTATTTAAACGGTCCCTTAAAGCTTGGCTGTTCCTTCAGATGTTGTGTTAGGGTGGGTTACAGACCCACTCTGTTTATGGCCTACTAAATGGTGATGTTTCTCCAGATTTTTTTTTTTTTAAAGATTGTGTATATTGTTGTTTGTGTCATTTTATTGTGTAAGCCACCGGAGTTGTGATGTATTGAACAGTCTCTAAATTTTATGAATGAATAAATAAAATATTTTATGAAATTATTCAATTAAATTATTCAACGGCCTGGTCCAGAATGGGTTTGCAAGTGACTTTGATCAATTATAGTAAACATCGTCTCTGAGAAAGGCAGGATATTTTTAGGCTAGGAACAAACTAGTAAAGTTGCTTGCTGGCTTTCTTTGCGACCTTGCAAAAGTATCTGCCTTATAACTGGCAACAAATAATGAAGTTCAGCCCTGCAAACCTGATTTTTAAAGTTTGCACCTTATAGAATAACCAGTTTAGTCTAAAATTAATTGAGATTTAACCTAACTGAATCAGAATGTGAATTACTCAAAGTCAAAGTGTAATCTAGGCTAATATTGTTGTGACCTGGTTTGTGGCAGTGAAACTGGCTTCCTATCCCTGACTTTTCTAATTGGAACAGCCAGGAAATTAAAAATTCCTTTTTGGCTAGAAAGCTTTCAGTTGTATCCCATTCTAATCTTTGTAACTATATGTTCTGCATTTACCCTCTTTGTCCTGGTCCAGAAATATACTACATATCCATACAGATTTCCAGCCCTATGTTGTTAAATGGAGGGCCCCTGTTCATAATCTGCATCTAATCTGTCCGCTGAAGCAAGTAAATATTCTAGCACAAAATACATTTGAAAAGATCATTTTAAAAGCATATTTCTCTCAATATTAATCTATTATTAGGCAGTAGAGGTCTATCATTGAATAAATTACTCTCAGGCTTATGACTTCATTTGGCTGTGAACACATTCCTTCCAGAAACAGTAGAAAACAGCTGACTAATTAAGTATATTTACAGGCTGCCAAATGTTTCTTCTATTATGCTAGATAGAAAGCAGGTTTTATTCTTCAGCTTGACCTCAAAATAACCCATAATACAAAGGCATTTTTCTGAAAATGGGAACCACCCAGATTTTGAAATAAAATGGCAGCTACCTAAATGTTTTAACTAAATAAAATGTCTTGCTTCACTTCGTTTCGTTGTGTGTGTTTTACAGCATCCTGTACTAGATGAAGCTATAGCAGAAGCTGTTTACATTATAGCAGATGCTGATAAATGGACAGTTCAGGTGTCTACTAGCCAGAAAAAGATGACTGACAATATAAAATTAGGCCAAGATGTACTCGTCTCCAGCCTAGTATCATCTTTATTGCAGTCTGTTTTACAACTTTACAAGCTTAATCTTTCTGCTGACTTTGTAAGTACTCATTTACAAGCATGTGTGTACAATAAATATAGATAAAGAGGAAAGATAAGATGTGCTCCAGGCTTTTGAACTGCGTGTATTTCTGCATTGATTTTCAGACTTAGACGGGGCACTGTGGTGACTGATGCTTTATTTTCCCACATGTTAACTATGTTAATCTAAAGGTTCACCTTGGCAATTGTGAAGAACGGATAACTGTTCTTCATGAAGTTTTATGACAGCATAAAGCATTAAAAAAAGATTTAAAAAAGGAAAAAACCACTCTGTAACAATAACCCATTACAGTATATAAAGATAAAATTGTGACAAGCACATAACACCAATTGTGAAGAACTGATAACTGTTCTTCAGGAAGTTTTATGACTATAGCCCTGTTTTTCTAATCTGGCCAATGGTGTCCACATTTTTTATATCATATGAGCTACCACATAAAAGGAAAATAGTTTCACCCACTGTATATTCTCTCAAATTCATTCGTTCATGCATTCATCCATTCATAACAATGGGACTTTGGACAGCATAAAGCATAAGAAAACAAACAAATGATCAAAAAAAGGGGGGGGAAACCCCACTATGTAACAATAAGCCATTGCAGTATATAAAGATAAAATGGTGACAAGCACATAACAACCAAAAGGAGGGAGTTTCATTCACTTGGCCCTGAATGCTTGGGCGAAGAAAAAGCCATATTTTAGTGACTTTCCTAAAGGCTAGATGTATTGGGGCCTGTTGTGTGTGTGTGGGGGAGGGGGGGGAGAACAGTGGAGAGGTAATTCCAGAGAATGGGGCAATCACTGAAAAAAGCAAAGCCTCCTGGGTCCTGTAAGATGACAAGATGGAAAAGAAGGAGAGCTCACATGTTGGCGTATGTGAGTGGACATATTCTTAGGACACTTAGGCAGTGCTTGATTAGTCTTGGCTTTATTAAAAACTTGTTTGTCAGAGTTTGCAGCAATCCAACCAGCACACAAGCAAACAATTCAGCAGGGTTCATTTATAGCAGAAACTTCTTTATATACAGTAATATACAATATGATGCATGTATACAATAACATGCCAGAAGAAGTCAGAGGCAGAAGAATCCAGAAGTCATAATCACAGAAGCCGTATAAATATAGACGCAAAGATCCAAGGACAAGCTAACTTTTATATACAGATCGGTAACCCTAAGCCACGGCCAGTCTCCAAGTTGTCTGGCTCACAACAAATGCTTGTTTCTTAGTCACCAAACAGTTCCCATTGGCTGACCTGTTACCATGTCTATTCCAGTTCAGTTTGACCAGGGGCCAGATGCGTCACACGCAGGCCATGTCCACCCCAGCTTCACTAATGGAGAAAACATCACGAAACATCACATGACAGCAACATGACACTGAACGTCAGTGTGGCCTCAACAAAATATATATATTTTTTACATTTATAAGTCGCACACTTTATCTCTTATAAACTATTTGGCTTTATCTCTGTGGGTTTCTTCTTCCACTTACAGTGTATAATGCACCTTGAAGATCGCCTACAGGAAATGTACCATAAAAGCACAATGCTATCTAAATATTTACGAGGACAAACAAGAGTTCATGTGAAAGAGCTTGGAATGGTCTTGGGGTGAGTGCTGCTAAAGTTAAAACCTAAGGCTGTTATTTTTACCCATCTTTCACTCCATTAATATTCAAGATGCGTGGTTTTTTATCTTGTGTCAGGTTTTCTGTAAAAGGCGTACCAGTATTTGTGTGTGTGTGTGTAAGTTGCATTGACCATCTGTAAATCAACCTGAGCTGTTATTTTAAATGAAATTTCTAGTCTTTTACTTTCTGAACAAAATAAAATTTTAAAACGCAGATGCTCTCCAGACTCATATGTGAATTGAGGAAGGAGTTGCCTGTGAATTGCCAACGAAGTCCACTGCAGAACAGGTGACTTTCAGCTCTGAAGATGCCCAGCCACAATTGTTGGCAAGACATCAGAAAATCAAATAATTAGATCACAGACCATTAATCTGAAAGCGCAGCAGCACTGGAGGGGCCCCATTAGTTGTAATAAACATATTGGTCAATACTGTTCATGCAATTTATATATTAAAATATATAAATTAAAAATGGTTTGAGAAAGGGGAAATGTATCAATTTTAATTATCTCTGCATTTAAGATCAGGATATCTTATTTTAAGCATGTCAGAAGATGCAGGTGTAGTGTAACATTCATCAGATAGCATTATATTCCTGTCCTGAAGTCATAATTGCTGTATTTTTATTTCTGAATAGTTAAAAAAGGGAAGGATCTTCTTTTCATTGTCCTAAGAGCATCTTGGAGGAATATTTTTAATCATGGTTACTACCCTGTTTCTCCAACAATACGGACTCCCGCAATAGGAAGTCCCAGCATGTTTTATAGGCATGAAATGAAGTTAAGCCCCTCCCCCCAAATTAAGGCCTATATTAAAACATGCGAAATGGGGGGGAATGGTGGGGGGGGCTTGCCGTTAGGAAGTACTTTTGTTGCACACCCGGATATGGTGCTGCCTGCGTTGACCCCAATACGAAGTGCCCCACCAACGCCAAGGTCAACATCCAAGCCGTTGCCGCCCGCCCGAAGATGCAAGGGAGGGAATTAAGTCACCCCCGAAAAGACGGCCTAGCCATTTTTTCAGGGCTCAAAAAAAAATAAGGCCCAGCCTTATTATATGAGAAACACGGTAACAAGATACTTTCAGTGCAGTAGAGGATCAAGAACTGATCTGCAGGATTCCCTTCTGTCAGGGAAGATTGCAAACTGCTGTCACCTGACAAATAATTTTCCTTCCCTTCCATATATGAGGGGTGGTGATAGTGGTGGCAGAAATCCTTTGTCAGGCTACAGAAAAGAAGATCTTCAGGATCCCTGCGTGTTTTTTTTCCAGCCAAGCCACCTGCTGCACAGGGCACATATTCTCTTCCATGCACAGACAAGGGAAACTCCTCCAAGGGGCTGCAGAAACGAAGTTTGGATTCCAGAACTCTACGCTTCACTTCTGCAGCCCACCACAAGAGGGTGCTTCTGCACACAAAAGGGAGCTGCCTTCCCTCCTTTAGCTGGCAGCTCTTTTACTCCGCCTCCTATAACAATTCCTGCGATCATTCAATGACCGCAGCCGGGAGAGATGGAATTGCCGTCATTGAGCAAAGCGGTCATGTGGGTGACTCACGACTGCTTTGCTCAGTGACCAAAAATCTGGTTCCAATTGTGGTCATAAGTTGAGGACCACTTGTACTTAATAACCTGTCAGCATTCCCACAAAGGTCCAATCTGTTAGCTTAATTGCTATTGATATTTTTTCAAAGGCATTTTCACCAGAAAAAAAATATTTCTTCTGGATGGTTGTTTTTGTTTGTTTTTTAACACCACGTCCCTTTTATCTCTTTAAAATTTTCTTAAGATCACAATTTTGCTAAGCTTTTTTTGCTTTTAAGTTAAAATTATTTAAAATAACTTTTCCCCCTTTTCTTCAAATCTCAAAATAAAAATAAAAATGCATTCACCATGAGTCTTTGATTTTCACTGCTGTTGGGAATATTTTTCTTAGGTTAGAAAGTAATTAAGTTCAAAGGTGGTTTAAGAAAAACGTTTGCCAATCAAATTCTAGTAAGGCTGCACAGCACTTGTAAATCCCTCAACTTCCAAGCTGCTCCACTTGCTATCGAGCACAAGTAGCTGAACTCCTGTGATTTCCTCATCCGGAGCAGCTCCTTCAGAACACAAGTAGGTGATTCCAATGGCCTCTTCCTTCCTCTGATGAGATTTTCATCAGCCAGAACCTGCCTGGCAATTCCACTACAATGCCGTTCCCACTTATAGGGTACATCCAGAGGGAGGTTTAATCTTCCGTCGGTCCTTACTTGGAAGCCCAACATTTACTTGACATTTAAATAGTGTCCCAAAGGCTGCCACCACCATCCTTAAAAAGTGACTGGTGTCAGTAAATGCTTCATTCGTGTCAGAAACATTTTCAAATTGTACACCTATAATCTTCAATATTGAGCAAATAAAATAGATATAAAATAGATCATAAAAGCACAGCATGTGTAAAATGTATGCAATATAAATAGGATTAAAACTAAATGATATTAGCCCAGTATTGGACCAGATCAACAGTATTTTCTCTCATCAACATGAAGCCTTCCTCTGTACATAAATCCTAAACTTGCTTTATTTTTAATGTAGTTAAAAGTGTAATAAGTTAATTGAGCCCAATTATTGTCTTTGAATTTATTTTCCAAGCACATTAAAAACAACAATTTGGCAACAGAAACCGAATCAGGGGTCTGGGAATGAGCTGCAAAATGTCTGTTCCTGGTTTAAAGGATCAATATGATTTCTATTTTCCCCCAGTATGTCTTCTCTACTTTATTACTGGTTACAGAGACTATCAATGATATTGTTTGAAAAGTCTTAGAACAGTGGTCCCGAAACCTTTCCGGCTCCACAGACTGGCAATTGGCAGGAGGGGAAGCAGGGAGGGGGTGGTTTGGTGGGCGTGGTGTGGCGTGGTGGGCGTGGCAGGGGAAGGATACCGTAAAATCTCCATTCCCTCCCCACCACACTGACCTGCTTTCCAGCTCCTTTCTCCTGTGCAGGGCAACCAAAGAAGACCCAGCCAGTCAGGTGGGACTCAATGGGAGGCAGAGAATAGATGGGGGAGGCGGGTCTAGTCAGAGGTGGTATTTGCCGGTGTTTTCCAAACTACTCAAAATTTCCACTTACCGGTTCTCCAGAACTGGTCAGAACTGGCTGAATACCACCTCTGCCCAGTTCCCAACAGATCATGGACCGGGGATTGGGGACCTCTGCTATTTAAAAGATACTCACTTTTAAAAGTGAATACCTTCTTTATTATTTATAGTCCCAGATCAACAAAAATATGAATGTAATTTTTTTAAAGAAAAGACATTCATAATGTTCAAGAAGGTGAATACACATAGAATGGAAGACTTATTTTTTTAAATATAGTGTTTACTCAGTTCCAATTCATTGGAATGCTTAAATAACTTTATGTAGCTGAAATATTAACACTTTCTTATTTTCATTTCTAGGATTGAATCCAATGATTTGCCACTGCTGGCTGCTATAGCAAGTACTCATTCACCATATGTAGCTCAGATACTCCTTTGAACCACAGATAAACTCTGTTCTCTCAAAGATTTGGGAGTGAATAATAGACCCAAAAGAAGAGGGTTTGTGATAGCAGTTTGTTACATCTCATTTGGTTTACTGCCTTTTTATGTGGATATTTATCAGTGGATTTTTAGTTTACGTGATCTAAAAGATATTCAGGGTTTTTATATTGTTTATGCATCCTTGTACTTTAATGAATGAAAGGATTAAACATTATTGATGGATATGTTGTTTACGTATAGCAGCTAACTAAACAGTATCAAAAATACAATTTCCTTTTTTTGCATTGGTCATATTTTTCTGAATTTCTTCAGTAAGGGGTTCTAAGCAAATAGTTTGAATGTAAACTTTTCTTTGTCTATGTAAACAAGACGATAAACCAATATACCTGTCTGCACAGAACTGCCTCCCTTCAGAAGAAGGGTTCAGAATTCAGCTACTAAGGTAACAACTGGATTAGCTAGCTAGTTCTTCAAATGGGCAAAGAAACCCAAAAGATCTTAAGTTTTATTCAAAAGTGAAGAAGAGGAGGAGGAGGAAGAAGAAGAAGAAGAAATAATTTTGTGTCATCAGGAAATAAAAGGGGGCGGGGGAATTCTTGAAACACACATCTGCTTCAAATTTAGCTTACTGCAAATGCTACCTCTTGAATTCTAATTCCTGGGTCATGTGAAAAAGTAGATAAAATGGGGAAATTTATCCTGTGCTACCAGCAAAAACAAAAGTTAAGAAACAATATAGTTATAAATCTGCATAAACTCTGGATAATTTATTTTGAAGGTAATTGTATCATTGCCCTGTACAGACAGGATTCACCTTTAATTGAAATGTTCAGGAGAAATTCCAGAGTGGTTATGTGGGGAGAGGTAAATATAGGAACAATCACTCAGTAATTAATTAGGATAGCTACAGATACATGAACAATCCTACATAATGTTTTATACTAGCTTTTCAGTGCCTTCCATTGTCCTGAATCGAGAGGAACTTGTGAAACCAGGCATAAATGATATCCATCCCTATTTGTCTGAAAGTAATACACGCATCTCTGTGCTTCTACATCATCATTTTTAGATCTAGGGTTTGACTTGACTTGGGGATAAGAACCCTGTAGCCTTTCCATTGTTGTGTCCCTAGCTGCCCTATCAACATTGTCCCTAGTGAAGGAGGCTGAAAGGTATAATGCAGCTATCTGGGAGCCATTATCTTCCTATCCCCGTTTAAAGGCATAGGGTTTATGCAGTTTATTGAGTACTTTGAATTATCATGATAAATTATAAGGGAGTCTGTTAAGAAGGCTCCCAAATGGTTTGATGATGAGGTTATTTTATTCTTATTCTTCTAATAACCTTTCTGTATTGGACTGAACAGTACTGCATGGAAGTATAAAGTACTGACAACTAAAATAAATAGTGCTGGCAATTTTTGATGCAAAGTTTATCCATGTAATAATGACTTAATATTATACCACCTGTTGCAAATCACCCTTTAAAAAAAAGAGGAAGGAACATTATTTGTTTCTAAATTGAGGCTCCATTATGAAAACTAAAATATCGGGGCGAGTTTTTTAAATTTCCTTACATTTTCAGGATATACATTCTATTTGCATTAATGGTACATTAACCCAGATATAAGATAATAGCTAATAATATATTAGGAAACTCTTTTTTTAAGTATGGATAGCTTACATCATATTTAATTGAAAAATAGCCTAGATTAAAATGGTGTTTTTAGGGAAAGTAAACTTTCCACCTTAAGTAATACTACCTCAGTTAACTCAATACATTGTTACTAAGGCAGTCTCCAATTTCTGTTTTTGTTGAAGCATTTGTTGAAGGATAGAAGCTATATCTATGATTAGTCATGGATGATTTTTATTAGCATGCTGTAGTTTTAAACGGATAAATATGCAGGGGAAAAACTGCCACTAACATAACAGAAATAGTGCTCTCAATTTAAAAGATTCTCAAGTTTTTAAATGGTATAACAGTATTTTATATATAAAACAAAAATAAGCAAACTCGATAGAGTAAGGGTAGGATTCTGAAAATGGGCCATATACTTTCAAATAGCCATAGGTTAATTTTCCAACATAAAGTGTGGGTGTTTTTTAAAGAATGGAAGCAGAAAGAAATTTTGTTAGCTTATTTTAAAAATGTGGATAAGTGATTTGTAATACAGGTAGTCCTTGACTTACGACCACTACTGAGCCCAAAATTTCTGTTGCTAAGTGAGACATTTGTTAAGTGAGTTTTGCCCCATTTTTGCAATAGCATTTAGACTTAATATACCGCTTTACAGTGCTTCACAACCCTCTCTAAACGGTTTACAGAGTCAGCCTATTGCCCCCAACAATCTGGGTCCTCATTTTACCCGCCACAGAAGGATGGAAGGCTGAGTCAAACTTGAGCTGGTGAGAATTGAACTGTTGGCAGTCAGACGAATTAGCCTGCAATACGGCATTCTAACCACTTCACCACCATGGCTCTTTCTTAACCGAGTTGCCAAGTGAATCACTGCAGTTGCTAAGCTAGTTACACGGTTGTTAAATGAATCTGGCTTCCCCATTGACTTCGCTTGTCCGAAGGTTGCAGAAGGTCATCCCGTGTGCCTGGGACAACTGCGGCTGTCACAAATATGAATTAGTTGCCAAGCATCCAATTTTTGATCACGTGGGGACGCTGCAGTGGTCATAAGTGTGAAAAATAGTCATAGGTCCTTTTTATCAGACCCATTGTAGCTTTGAACTATTTGACTACTCAATGAATGGTTAAGTCGAGGACTCCCTGTATAAATGAATGCATTTACATTTTTTTGTATGTTGATGTCTAATATTTAAAGACTTGCCATATTCTGGGAATCTCATCTGAAACGAGCTGTTCTGGAACGGATCATTGCTGAAGAGGAATGGACTTTCAAAATGCCAGCATAACAGCTGTGTTTTTCTAAGCACAGCCACTCTTTCACAAACTAGGTCAATAAACTGGATTACTTGAGTTAAGTAACACGTTACTTATTAAGGAAAGACACAGAGTTCTATAGGATATCTCCAGAGAGAAGTACTACATGGGAGTATGGATACTAGTGTCAAACTGTGGAAGCTTCTTAGAACACTTTGTGTTCTGACCCAACTCCCAAACACAACAAGCATGTTGTTTGTTAACTAGCGTTTCCTTTATTAGGAGCGCCATCAAAGAGTCTCTCACAGTAGGCTAACAAAATATCTAAATGCCTATGGAAATCAAAGCTCGCTCCCTTTCCCCCCTGAAATGGCTCCAACCCACCAGGACTGACTGACTGACTGACTGACTGACTGACTCTCTCTCTCTCTGTCTCTGTCTCTCTCTCTCTCTCTCTCTCTCTGTCTCTGTCTCTCTCTCTCTCTCTCTCTCTCTCTCTCTGTCTCTCTCTCTCTCTGTCTCTCTTGTAACGGACGTCCTGTAAGGTGTGCTCGCTCTTTTTCCAGCAGCACAGACACATGCATGCTCCAAAGGCGCACCTGACTCTCAACATTGCAGATTCCGATACAGTTCCAGAAAGGATTCAGAAGTTCGGACTATCAGTGGCTGACCAACAGGGAGACGAATAGTTTTCTGCCACACCTATTCACCTCCGCCCCCTGCCTTTTATCCCCAGAGCTGGGGTGGGGTTTAGATAGCAACGGTGCTCTCTGCCTTCTGTGCATCCGTGCATCAGGCACTGGACCCAGCTGTTCCTTCCTCATCAGCCACTTACGGACCTGGGGGTCTGTTGACTCTCCCTCTGGGGGCTGATGGATGGCCCGGGCTCCGCCTCTGTATCTCTGACAGCTTTATTCCCTCTTCCCCCTTAGAGCTCTCAGATTGTCTTGATACCCGACTCCCACTCCACTGCCTCCTCTGATTCGGCTGTGGGGGGGGGGGGAGCGGTGGCCGAGAGGCCACAACACTTTGGTTATAAATAGGCAGTTATCATGTGTCAAGGGGGGCATTGGTGCAATAACGTAATTGTGAATAAACTAAAAATACTAAAATTCTGTTTTTCTGTTCTGTTCCACTGTCAGACTGACAAGATTATTTTGTATCTGCTTCTAACAGAGGGGTGTGTCATTTTCAGAGGGGATCCTTCATTTTCTATGGTTTCATCATTTATGGCAGCCAAGCTAGGAGCTACCGTGCTAGCAAATTAAGAAATGTTACCATAAGCAAGGGAAAAAAATGTTCAATATGTTTCCTGCTTGATTTCAGTTTTTATCTCCTCAGTGGTCAGAAACCAGATTGTAAAGTGCAGGTGCAAACTGATTAGAGAAGTGCAGAAAATCAGAAGTGTGCACATTAAACCGCAAATAGACAAGATGAACTGAGTAACAATATCACCTGCTTGCCCTTCTCTAAATTGACAGCGTTTTTTAAATGTAGATGACCTTCGACTGATTTGTCAGAAATTATGTGGCAAAAAAGCCCTCTTGATTGTCACATTAACATGCTTAGTCCTGCATAAGAGGAGAATATTTGATGACCACATTCAACCTAACAGGCACTTGTCTCAAATTGTATAAAGTTTCCTGCTTAAACGGGGTTGGACTGGAAGACCTTCAATTGATGGAACACCCAAGTGCAGTCTGAGATAAGGTGTATTAGGAAGAGAAGATGCTGTATGAGTATTCTTGAGCATTTAGACTGAATAAATCAAGGCAGGCAGGTATTTGTGCTCATTAATATGCATACATACATTATAATTTGCTTATAAGAATGCAAAGACCAGTTAGCTCTTTTATCAGTCATGTCTGTATTACGGTATGTACTACGTTTTAAAATATTTATAGGTATTTCATGGTGAGCATCATTGATGTCCCTTAAATAATTGGGAAAGAAGAAAATTGCAGTGAGTTATAATGGCTTGCCCATTAGTCAGGGGTGGGATTCAATTTTTTTAACAACCAATTCTGTGGGTGTGGCTTAGGTGGTGGATGTGGCTTGGGGGTCATGTGACTGAGTGGACATGGCTTGGTGGTCATGTTATTGGCTGGGTGTGGCCAACTCAATATCACTCACATCGAGGCACACATCTCCTCGCCTGACTGTGGGGATGCTGCAACAGTCGTAAGTGTGAAAAATGGTCATAAGTCACTTTTTTCAGTGTCATAGTAACTTTGAGTGGTCACTCCACACAAGCAAAGTACCAGCAAAGGAGGGGGAAAAAACTCCAGAGAAGTTCCTGAGACAGGAAGTCCAGTCCTGCCAAGAATGTCATAAGGGTTAACAGAGAGGCAG